AACGCTGCAGATAAAAGTTCAGCTACTGTTGGCTGCTGGTGAATTATCAATTAAATCTTAACGAGAGGTTTGGTTTCCAAACTTCCTCCTTATGATGGAAAACCCCTTTAAAAGTTCACAGGAAGTGACACGAAACCTTCACCCTTGTTTTAATGAAACACTGGAAAATATGAGACATTATGTTACTTTTTCTGATCACTGATATAAAATCCCATATTAAAACTATATTTTATTGGAGAAATCTCTCAAGTTGAGGTTAAGCTGTCTCAACAAAAGTCTAGAACTGCTTGATAAAATCTCCACCCTCCTCTCTGACCTTCATACCTGAGACTTGCCAGTAAATATGTGTCCCTCTTCCTCATTTGCATGAACAGAGAAGCAGTATGCACCGACCAAACTGGCTCAGACTAACAGGAACAGCAGAGAGGCGAAACACAGAGCAGCAACCAGTGTGGGGATACATGACTAACTGAAAAAATAGCAGGGAGAAGCAATGTCTCTCAGAGCAGAGGAGGATCTCTGCTGCTCCATCTGTCAGGATGTCTTCAATGATCCTGTTGTCTTGTTCTGCAGCCACAGCTTCTGCAGATCCTGCCTGAATAACTGGTGGGATGGGAAAGTCATACTGGAGTGTCCTCTATGTAAGAAGAGATCGGCCACAAGGGATCCTCCATGCAACCTGGCTTTAAAAAAGCTATGCGAGAACATCCTTTCGAAGGGAAGGAAGAAAGCTGCACCAAAGCCAGAGGTTATCTGCCGTCTCCACGGTGAGAAATTCAAACTCTTCTGCGTGGAGCACAAGGAGCCTTTGTGTCTCGTTTGTCAGCATTCAGATGAACATGCTGGACACAGATTCAAACCCATCAATGAAGTCGCCGAGGGGCAGAAGACAGAGCTCAGAAAGGCCCTGGGGCCCCTACAGCAGAAGCTGAAGGTCTTCAGAGAGGAGAAAGGAAACCTGAATGAGACGGTGAAGCACGTTAAGCTCCAGGCTGAACAGACGGAGGGACGGATCAGGGAGCAGTTCAGGAAGCTACGTCTGTTTCTCCAGAGGGAAGAAGACACCAGGATTGCTGCTCTGAGGACAGAAGAAAGCAAGAAGATCCAGAAGTTAAACCTAAAGATTGATGCCCTCAATAAAGAGATTGCTGCTCTTTCCAGGAGCATCAATGAAACAGAAGGAATGCTGAAAGCTGAGGATGCTTTGCTGCTGCTGAAATTCAAGACTGCTGTGCAAACTCTCCGACAGCGCCCCCTGCTGGACGACCCGCAGCCCGTCTCAGGGGCCCTGATAGATGTGGCCAAACACCTGGGAAACCTCCCCTTCAACATCTGGAACAAGATGAAACATCTGGTGTCCTACACTCCTGTGGTTCTGGACCCGAACACGGCCAACTTTGAGCTCATCCTGTCCGAGGATCTGACCAGGCTGAGATGCGGACAGAAACAGAACCTCCCAGACAACCCAGAGAGGTTCGACTTCTTCCGCATCGTCCTGGGCTCTGAGGGCTTCATGTCAGGAATCTACAGCTGGGACGTTGATGTTGGAGAAAACACAGACTGGTTTGTGGGCGTCGCTTCACAGGGAGTCCAGAGGAAAGGAATTCATCCCACCCGTCTGTGGAGAATAGGGTGCTTGAAGGGTAAATACACAGCTAGGGCCCTTTCAGAACCTTCCACGGTTCTGGCGGTGAACGGAAGCCTCAGCAGGATCAGGG